TGTGTGTGTGTGTGTATGTGTGTGTGTGTGTGTGTGTGTGTGTGTGTGTGTGTGTGTGTGTGTATCTATCTATTTATCTATTTATCTATATATCTTTGTAAAACATAACACTTCCCTACCAACACCTTCTACTGCTGTGTCTCCTTCGGTACAAACGGAGGAACCAAACCCCACCTGAAGTGATCTTGAGGTCATCATCACCTAAAGGAAAGACATATGAACTCTGACCCTCCCAAGAACACGACAAAAACACAACAAAAACACATTAAAAAGAAAAAAACTGACAAAAACAAATCTAAATGGAATTAGTTAGTTAGTTAGTCTCAAAGGCCAGAATCTAATTTGAATGATAAATCTTGTTAAAAATTAGAGCTGTCCCTCTGCCCCCACTAATTATATCGACTGTAAATTAAAACGTTCGAAGGTTATGTAATATTAACAAAATTTAAAGAAGAGACAAAATTGATTGATTAAAACACCTGGTATCTTATCTATACCTGGTGTCTTATCTATAAGCGGCAGGTAAATAAAGAACGTTCATTCTTTGTATTGGAAGAGAAAAGAGAGACCTCCCCAAAAAATATATAGGAAAGATCATGTCACTTCTCTCTATCAAAGTAGAGACAAAGATCATGTCACTTCTCACTATCAGAGTAGAGACAAAGATCATGTCACTTCTCACTATCAGAGTAGAGACAAAGATCATGTCAACTATCAGAGTAGAGACAAAGATCATGTCACTTCTCTCTATCTAGAGACAAAGATCAGAGTAGAGACAAAGATCATGTCACTTCTCACTATCAGTAAGAGACAAAGATCATGTCACTTCTCACTATCAGTAGAGACAAAGATCATGTCACTTCTCTCTATCAAAGTAGAGACAAAGATCATGTCACTTCTCACTATCAGAGTAGAGACAAAGATCATGTCACTTCTCACTATCAGAGTAGAGACAAAGATCATGTCACTTCTCACTATCAGAGTAGAGACAAAGATCATGTCACTTCTCACTATCAGAGTAGAGACAAAGATCATGTCACTTCTCACTATCAGAGTAGACAAATATCATGTCACTTCTCTCTATCAAAGTAGAGACAAAGATCATGTCACTTCTCACTATCAGAGTAGAGACAAAGATCATGTCACTTCTCACTATCAGAGTAGAGACAAAGATCATGTCACTTCTCTCTATCAAAGTAGAGACAAAGATCATGTCACTTCTCACTATCAGAGTAGAGACAAAGATCATGTCACTTCTCACTATCAGAGTAGAGACAAAGATCATGTCACTTCTCACTATCAGAGTAGAGACAAAGATCATGTCACTTCTCACTATCAGAGTAGAGACAAAGATCATGTCACTTCTCACTATCAGAGTAGACAAATATCATGCGTCATCTCACCCCCACTGGCCATTAAAGCACCTCATGGCTGACCAAGACCAATGCTATAAGCTAAAGTAAACAGACACAAGACTTACCTATAACCACAAACCTCAGATTCTTATCAAGACTCTAAAGAACTTGTAAAGGAATATGTTAAAGAGTTTTCGGTTTTAAGATAAGTTGATGATAAAGGAAACCACAAGGTGATAAGAGGAACGATGGCATCAACAGACACATAGGCCTACGGGTTGAGACACAGTGGGGAGGAGTTGAATGACGAGCCCATCAGATTATACCGGCTGAGAGAGAGAGAGAGAGAGAGAGAGTCCAGACAAATGTAAACAATAAACATATAAACATCATGCATAGAGGGTAAGTGTATGGTGAGCAACAGCGACGTAAAGACAGTGCAGTGCCAGAGGATGAACGTACAGTAATGGTGCCAGGTAACGTTTCGCCCAGCTAGGTGGCCTATGTTAGAGATTTTTTTATTATCCCCTTACGTAAAATAAACTTGATCATTGGTATTACACAAGCTGGAACACACACACACACACACTGCTACACAGCGTGTGTCACAGGGACACGCTGGAACACACACCCTCCTATACAGATTCCTACACAATTAAACAGGCAAAAATACCCTTTGGACAGTGCCGGATTAACCATGAGACACTTGAGGCACTGGCCTCAGGCCCCCAAATCCAAACATTCTCGAAGTTGAAACATATAAAACATGAACTTGGGGCCCCCAAGTTGATCTGTGCCTCAGGCCCCTATTATACTTAATCCGGCCCTGCCTTTGGAGTAACTCTCACATGTTCCTGGCGTGACATTTACACCTTTAGTCTCTTCCACTGCCACCCCTAATGATAAACGTCACGAGGAATCAAACTTTATATCGTGTGGGGATGTGTGGCGCCACCCTGAGGACCTTCACTCAACACAGGTAGTGAGTTGTGTGGTTAGCTCAAGAGATGGCGCTGAGTGTAACACGGCGGAGGCTACAGAGACTCTCAGACTGGGAGTTGAACACCCGGGGACCTACACGAGATGAAACCTGTCAGAGATGCTTCATACTTCCTTTTTGTTCTGTCAGAGATTTTCCCTAAAGTATGAATATTATTTATGAATATTTATCACATCAGTAGTAGATAAATTCTTAACGAATCAAAGAATACTGAAATATAAGATTGATGTTAGTAAGATTTTTCAGTACATTCTCACTTTCTTTTATCCATTCTCTTCCCTAAAAAAATCCTCCCTGTTATTATCAGGTATACTCTTTACAGGCTGTTACTGTGTACTCTCTCTCTCTCTCTCTCTTATTGCTCTTACACTAAAACAACACGTAACTCCTGTGTATAAGACTTGGCAAAAGGTAGGTCGTGTCATCCCCTGAGCCAGCCTTCCCTTATGGCCTGGTAACACTCGTCCCATTATAACAACCATTCACTATAGAGTTAATGGGGTGGGCGTTTTCCTTTCACTCATGCTCACCTGACAAAGCTCACCTGGTAACACTCACCCGGCAACGCTCGCCTGGTAACACTCACCTGGCAACGCTCGCCTGGCAACGCTCGCCTGGTAACGCTCACCTGGCAACGCTCACCTGGTAACGCTCACCTGGTAACGCTCACCTGGCAACGCTCGCCTGGCAACGCTCACCTGGCAACGCTCACCTGGCAACGCTCACCTGGTAACGCTCACCTGGTAACGCTCACCTGGTAACGCTCACCTGGCAACGCTCACCTGTCATACCAGGATGCAGATGAAGCTAACACAATACAAATTAAACTCGAACATTATTATTACTACTCTAGGTTAGTTTAGGTTAGGTTATGATATTAAACGATATATTAAATAAATTAAAGAATGTTTTTACCATATATAAACCAATTCCTATAGTTATAATAATAAACACTAAAAGTCATCCTTATTTAATTCTCAATGGAATGATCATCAATAGTCAACGTGATGGCACATGTAAACCACCACGAATACCTAAGACACCTTGAGCGAGATCTTGTTTCCCTCCGTTGATACATAATAGTGAAGACATCATTTCAAAATAATACTTCATTCACAAAAACTTGATGCTGGATGAGTCACCTAAACACATCACAGTTCATGACTCGACCAGGAATGAAGTTTGACCTTATGACCGGGGCGAGGCGGGTCACTTCCCGTTTGTGCTGTACTGAGCGGACAGGTCACTGCCACAACCTGTACTGAATGTCTTGTAGTTTACGCTGCTGCCTATATAGAGGTCAAGGAAGCGAAGAATTATTATGTTTGCATATTTGTGTGTGTGTTGGGGGGGGGGATTGTTATTTTGTGTATACGTGCAATAACTGTCTGTCTCTGTAATTCAATGTGTTTGCGTATATTTAGGCGTATGGAATCGTTTTTGTTTTTGCCTGTGTATGTCTGGTTGGTATAAGATATTGATACAGCCACTTGACCGACAAGGCAAATACACTACAAGACTCTAATTATTAGTGGTACTTATATAAGACCATAGCAAATAACAGAGGGATAAGTTGGCTTAATGAGTAAGTACTTAGGTAATATTACTAACAGAGACACGTAAATACCAGCTTATCACTGAATCCAGGGTTAGTGGACAGTTAACAGTGAGGTTAGGTAACATTAAGTTCACTGTATCTTGCTCTATCCTCTTGTTGCTATGAAAACCAAATTTAATGTATCAGACAATGTTATCACTCAAGTTAAGGGTCAACAAGGGTCAACAAGTTCATCAGGTCACGTTACAATATCTGGCTGATGATTCACACTAAAGATGGCAATTGGATCTCTCTCTTCCCAGATACCATATTTGGGGTGAAAACGCGGAATTTCATGATTACAAGTGAATTAATTATCAGTTAAAAAATCCTTCCTTCAAAACTTTTAATTCCCGAACATAAATTGAACAGGTAGTCGGGAAGTCAATTCTCACGAGGTTGGTTGCACCGAGGGACACGGGAAGGGGGGGGTCATAGCTAGAGGTCCTATTATAATGCAAGGTAAAGTCTTCTACAACTACGAAAAATGATATAAATAAGTGTTCCTTGATAATGCTTCAGCTCCTCCTTCACCTGTTTATGGGGGTACTGCCCTAGATGAGCTGCGCCTCTTGGAGTGAGAAATAATCGTAGTATATAACACGACAATAAGGACAATACCAATTATAGGAAGACCAAAGACACTAAAGTTATAAACAAAACATCAAGGCTCCTGGGTGTCTGAAGGAGCCCGAATCAATGAATCATCGTGACTTGCATTACAAGAAGAATTCATACAAATGACATTAGCTATTAAAAAAAAAATCTATCCCACATTCAAAAATAAAAACAAACATCTATCACTTTCCTTCACAAGACAACAATGAGGGTCACTCGCTTTCTCTGGCACTTTCATATCTAACAACGTCGTGTTTTTAGCTACACTTCCAAAAGAATATGTGCTAACTCATCTACAACCTACTAGGAGACTGGTCATGTGGTATTTTGCTGCTACCTACTTTACTAAGCACTTGCCAAATAAAAGCAAACGCTGCTTAAGAGAAGGCGAAAGCGGCAGAAAGTGACCCGTAGTGCAAAAACTGGGTTGGAAAGAAGTTGTGGGAGAACGACACCCGGCCCGGCCCTGCCCTGCCCTTCACCACGCAACAAGCTTCAGTATCACGCTAGACGCCGTACTTGGAGGTGCACGGTGAGTATGCCGCTGCCTTGCCCCCACCTTAACACTATACAACATATACGCATGTTTGTGTGTTCATGTACGATCGTGTGTATGTACGTACCGATGTAAGAGTGTGAGGAAACAGGGGGAGGTAAGTTACCATTATATTTCATGACCGGGCACAAATACGCTTTTCACTAGTGACAAATAACGCTTATGTGTTACCAAAATGAATTAGCGCCTTTATACCCTTAGATTATACTTATCATCCTTGTCAACCTATACATATGTATTACTTTATACTATCACCAAACTAATACAATGTATATTAATCAATGACGACTTAAGAAAGTTGCAATATTTATAAGACTCAAGTTGTCTCCCTCCTTCTAGTGCCCACACCTTGAACTACCACACCTCTACCATGGTCTTGTAAACATTGACACTGCTGGCCATACTTATTACCACACTATGTTAACCCCTTTGTTGTAACCCAAGTGGAATCAGTGAAAAATCAATATATAGCAAGTTCCATCACGTGTGTGTGTGTGTGTGTAAACCTAACCTAACCTAACCTAACCTAACCTAACGACTTGTAGGGGAAGAGAATGACAGGGCATCTTATTTTTTCTCCAACAACTGAATATTTCTGCGGTAAACAACTTTAAGACTTTAATTTTTTATATCGTGTCTTATCCTGATGACTTATGTCCGGGCGTCCCCCACAGACATGGTTGGGGTCGCACTACTGCTGGTGGCTCTGGTGGCGGGGTCCCAAGCTGAACTCGCTGGCGTCGGCCCTGGAGGAGGAGGAGGAGGAGGAGGATATGGTGGATATGGTGGATATGGAGGAGGATGTTACCCACAGACGCATTACGAGACCCATTACCGAAAGAGACTTCAGGAGGTAAGTTTTTTTTTTTGTTACTAGATCATCAACACAAGTCAGGTGTGTCAGATGTCCACTACAAGGCATATATTCGTTAATCTATAATGTCTCTCTATCACAGGTGCCGGTATACGAGACAGTGGTGAGCCAGACTGTTGTTCTGCAGCCCTTTACTGAGGTCGTGTACAGCACCATCTTCAAGCAGAACATTCAGTACGTCACCAAGACTGAGTACGTCACCACCACTGACCACATCACTTTGGTGGGTATACGGAGTTGTGACGGTCGTGTATTACTCGGGTATTGGTGGCCCTTATGGGAGTTGGAGTTGGAGTTGTAGTAGTCGTAGTAGTTGTAGTGAAAATGTGAGAGTGGTTGCCAACGAAATAGCAGTAGTTATAGTAATAGTCGCAGTAATGAAGTAGTAATACTAGTAGTAATAATTGGTGTTACAGTAGCAGTAGTAGTAACAGTCGTTGCTCAGTCAATAAAGTATTTGTAGAAGTAAAATAAAATGGTAAAATACATTTCATTAACTATTATATATATAGAGAGAGAGAGTTTTCACATGTACAGTATAACTGGCGGACATAACAGCTTCACGTTGCTGCGGTTCACAGGTGTCACATCGGTACTACACGGAGACGGTGGAGAGCGTGATCTACGTGCCAGACTACTCCACCAGCACACGCTCCGTGACACAGTACCAACCCGTGGAGGTGACCAGCCACCTGTACACCACCGAGGTCTCCCCATACGACTTCCCCACACCTTACGTGGAGACCATCTACAACACCGTCACCGATGCAGTCACCATCACCCATAGGAGCCAGGTGCCACACCCCACTACTTACTTGGTCACGAAGACCTACACCGACTACTACACTGAAAAGGTCACTCTAAACAAGCTGCCTTACACCGCGCCTCAGGAAATTGTTGTTGTTACTAACAATATCGTCAACGTGAAGCCGACGCACGTCACGAAGACGTACCACGTCACGCAACGCATCACCACCACCAACGTCGAGCGAGTCCCTTACACAGTGACGCACACTGTGCCTGGGCAGTGTGGCCCTTCCGGCTACTCCTACCCCGAGCCCCACAACCCTCTCCAGTACGCCGGCTCCAACGTCAACTCTGTTGTTGTAGCGGATAGTGGCTCGCCTGTGGGATCCGGGGTGGGTGTGGGTGCGGGGTCAGAGGAAGGTGGTGGATACTGATGTGATAAAATCATCCAGTGGAGAGTTTCCCACTACACCACCTCCCTATAAACAACTCAGTCCATAACCAGTCCTGCTGGCTGTTCTTTTCTTGTGAACAATTTAACCTTGCCCACTCCCATGAGCCACCATTCATAACCTACTCGAGTGGGCAACACAAAACAGTTGTCGTCCCTAAGAGAGAACTACAGCCGCGTCCATTATAGCGAGTAGCCTCCTCCACACCCATTACTGTACATAACTCATTTTTTCTAATATTGTTTCAATACAAAGATAATTTCTATTTTAATTTGCCGGGTATAACTCTAGAATCGTCAGGTCTCTTCTGTCAAAGGTGAATTTCTTTTGTATGTTGAGGGAGCCGTCTCTTATTTCGATATACAGTATCTCTTGTATGGCCGCTGATGAAAAATATTACTGAAAAATACTGAAAATAACCACAAAACTCTATCCAATACTCAAATATACTTCACAATACCTATCACACTTCTCAAACTATAACCTCCAGAAACTAAACTTTAATCCAAGAATCACACAGAAATGACGAAACTCACACATTTCCCTCATTATCAGTTTATACAACAATACATACCCCAACAAAGACGTCACACACTGTTAACCATCACCAGCCAACGATAGAGAAATAGATCCACAGACAGAAGTACATTACGTGTGTTAGTTTACAGTCGTTGTTATAAATATGTATCACCATGTTATTCTTCAGGTATATTATTGTATTGTATCGTGTCGTTGTTATTGTAAATATATAAAGCTACTGATATGTTGTGTTTTTTTAATATTGCATGTGAACGAGAAGATCCGAGTGTGTTTATTATATAGATCAGTATTATATTACATAGATTCAGTATTATATTATATAGATTCAGTATTATATCATATAGATTCAGTATTATATTACATAGATTCAGTATTAATGAAACGATACTGTCAAGATGGTGACGAGGGGGGCGTGTCCTTCACCCACCACACCTACTGTATACCTGAGAGTGAGTAAATAAGGTACAGTTGAGGGTCACAGGATGGGGGAGTGAGAGACAGCCGGGTCACAACCTGGGAGAGACAAAGACAACCAGGTCACCCACAAGCTGATAGAGTGAGAGACAGCCGGGTCACAACCTAAGAGTGAGAGACAGCCGGGTCACAACCCGGGAGTGAGACAGCCGGGTTACAACCTGAGTGAGAGACAGCCGGGTCACAACCTGAGAGAGAAAGACAGCTGGGTCACAAACTGAGAGTGAGAAACAGCCGGGTCACAACCTAAGAGTGAGAGACAGCCGAATCACAACCTAAGAGTGAGAGACAGACGGGTCACAACCCGGGAGTGAGGCAGCCGGGTTACAACCTGAGTGAGAGAAACAGCCGGGTCACAACCTAAGAGTGAGAGACAGCCGAATCACAACCTAAGAGTGAGAGACAGACGGGTCACAACCCGGGAGTGAGGCAGCCGGGTTACAACCTGAGTGAGAGATAGCCTGATCATAAAATGGGGGAGTGAGAGACAGCCTGGTCACAAAATGGGAGAGTGAGAGACAGCCGGGTCACCCACAAGCTGAGAGAGAGACAGACAGCCGGGTCACACAACCTAAAAGTGAGAGACAGCCGGGTCACAACCTGAGAGCGAGATACAGCCGGGTCACAACCTGAGAGTAAGAGACAGCCGGGTCACAGCCTGAGAGCGAGAGACAGCCGGGTCACAACCTGAGAGCGAGAGACAGCCGGGTCACAACCTGAGAGCGAGAGACAGCCGGGTCACAACCTGAGAGCGAGAGACAGCCGGGTCACAGCCTGAGAGCGAGAGACAGCCGGGTCACAGCCTGAGAGCGAGAGACAGCCGGGTCACAACCTGAGAGTGAGACAGCCGGGTCACAACCTGAGAGCGAGAGACAGCCGGGTCACAGCCTGAGAGCGAGAGACAGCCGGGTTACAACTTGATTGAAACGAAATTATGGTCATTAAACAGAAATAACAGACATTGAACAAGTACCCGTGGACGTTATTAAGTACAGCTGGACATAATAAATAACGTATTTCCGGGTGTAGGTGAAGAGCCCAGAGTACTGAAAAGTGGCAAAGTTCACCAAGTGGATAAGAAATCACCTTAGGAACTAATAAGGGAACTCTGGATGGGAGAGACAATCTTTCACAGCTCACTATCTCATCACTGGACTGAGAGTGACCAGCCTTCATCTCTATCTATCTATCTATCTATCTATCTACTGTATGTATGTATATATGTATGTATGTATGTATGTATGTATGTACAGTATGTATGTATGTATGTATGTATGCATGAATCAATAGTATACCAAACACACTTATCCCCAACACCATAATTTTCTTTCCACAACAATGGCAAAAACTGGATCTGAAGAACTTGGCAACCGAGGAGTTAAAGGGACCTGCCAGCGGTGTAGAGCCACAGTCGCCAAGTGACCGCCGAGCAACATGGAGCTCCTTACAGGTTGGTGTGATCAGGTAGAGAGAGGGAGAGGAACTAGGAAAACAAAATTAGGATCTAGTATGTGTTTGTATATGTATGTATGTGTGATGTAATGTATTATATAATGGGGAATATTTACCTACGAAGATTATTCTAATTTGTTTATTTTAAGATTATGATTCAATGTAAGTGGCTTTGTATATGCCAAGATAATTATGTCTTACACTGGTTATCTAGGCTTTACTATATCCGGCCATAGTATTGCAACGGGGACATTCATAAGCTAAAGTAAAGGGAAAGTGAAGCTTACTGTAAGGTTTTCTGAGAGTTAGAAAAAAATTATCAAGTTAGAGAGAGAGTGAGACAGAGAGAGAGAGAGAGAGAGGGAATAATTAGCCACACTAACAAGATCATGTCAGGGGATGTGGTAATTACAGTTACTGTATATTCATTGTACTATAAGACAACTTGTTTAAGCTTTGGTGAGTTAGTCTCTCAATCAGGTATAACGATTTACAACACCTGTGCTCACGTGGTTTATGAAGGAGTCAGATGGACAATAGTTCACTTAGATTACAACAGCGTATCACCTGATGAACATAAATACTGCCAGGCGTGTGATGAAGATATTAATGTTTAGAAAGTCTCCTAGAAAATGAGAACATAATCTCTCACTTCATTAGAGTCTTCAGGTACGCGCCAGGTGATGGTGTGATAGGTCAGGGAGCTGTGAGAGGATGTACGCGAGGCTCATACAAGTTAATGCTGCGGTGTTCATCCTGCGGTGTTCATCCTGCGGTGTTCATGCTGCGGTATTCATCCTGCGGTGTTCATCCTGCGGTGTTCGTCCTGCGGTGTTCATCCTGCGGTGTTCCGTGTCTATTATTCTCCACTATTTAATTATCTTTGTATTCCTCCTTCAGGTAGGATGAGAGTCTGGCTCCTGCTGTTGGCCTCCACCCTAACCGGTTTCACTCAAGCCGGCGGAGGGAAGGGAGGTGGGGGAGGGAAGGGCGGTGGGGGAGGGCATTTTGGTGGGGGGTTCTTGGTTCCTCCCCCACCCATCGCCCCCCCCATAAACTTCCCCATCCCACCCCCGCCGCCCATCCACATCAACGCCGTGTTCGAACCGCCGCCCAGACCCTGCCACCCCGTCACCAAGTATGTCACCAAAGACGAGGTGGAGCAGCTCTACGTAAGTACTCTTTCCTTTTACTCCTCAAAACTTAACGAGATCTTTCTTGTGTTTTGATCGCAATGAGTTAATATCACATCTTTTGATATTGTACCTGAATGATAACTTAAGACGCATTATATAACTGATGAACACCCGAGGTTATTTAGAATTCATAAGTGTCACTCCTGAATAAGAGAGCACGTTGCGTCTTTGTAACCATTAGTTCCTCAGGGTACAGTGTTATGATCTCTCTCTCTCTCTCTCTCTCTCTCTCTCTCTCTCTCTCTCTCCCTTCACCCCTCTCTCTCACCTACTTCACCCGCCCTGCAGGTGCCTATCTACGAGACTGAAGTAGACCAAATAGTGGTGCCCACGACCTACTACGAAACCAGTTACGTCACCACTTACAACCTAGTCACCAAGCCTGTCTACGTCACTGTCTACCGTACCTACACGGATTACGACTCTTCGGTGAGTAACAATAACAATAAATACAATAATAACCTAAACAATAATATTAAAATTAACTTCATTTCAACATTAAACATAAGTCACGAGAGGTACAGATGATCGCTAGTAATATTTAACACTCCCTAACATAGTATTAGTTCTGTCAGGCTTCAGTGAGTGTCTAGGTTATCACGCTGCCTGGATGTCTAATGTGATTGATTTTATGAGAGTAGTGGGACAAGTTGTAATATATATGTGTTGTTGTATTAGCTGTATTATATTCCATGTATATATAGTCAGCCGTTACTATGATGTTTATTACGATGACAGGTAGCAGTTGGAACCCGTTATGAGAGCGTGACGAATATCCGGAGAGTTCCCGCCGTCACCACCGTCACAGATTTCAAGCTGAAGGTGGTGCCCTCTGTAGTGACCGACATCAAGGGGGTGACGGTCGGGTCGCCCAGGGTGTACCCCAACACCGTAAGGTTCACCTGGACCATCACAGAGAGGTCGGTGTTCACCTCTACACTCGGGATCCCTACCCCCTACCCTATCACCACCGAGTACACCACAGTTACCGAGGTCATGACTGTGCTTGATACCGTCACCTATTATCCTCCACCCGTTCAAGTCCCTCCGCTGATTACCACAATCGACCAAACTAAGTTGCATTATACCCCAGTGATCGTCACCACCACCGTATATGAGAGACTGGCTACCACCGTCACCGAAGAGCAGAAGGTACCTTACACTGTGGTAGTAACGTCTCCGTGTGGTGGCGGCGGCGGCGTGGCAGCAGGAGGGGGTGGTTTCGGTTCTGGGGTGGGCGGCGTGGCGGTAGGAGGGGGTGGTTTCGGTTCTGGGGTGGGCGGCGTGGCGGTAGGAGGGGGTGGTTTCGGTTCTGGGGTGGGCGGCGTGGCAGTAGGGGGTGGTTTCGGTTCTGGGGTGGGCGGCGTGGCGGTAGGAGGTGGTGGTTACGGTTCCGGGGTGGGTGGCTTTACAGGAGGGAATGATCTCGTTCCTTCAGTGGGCGGCGGTGCGGGAGGAGCAGGGACAGGGCTGGACGTGAGGAACGACGGACCGTCTCTCCAGTCTTCTTATGGAGACCCACTGTACTAAACCCTCTGATAACTAACTCCCCTCCATCACACATCCAGACCTTGTTAATACAGCCACCGTTGTCTGGTGATCATTCTCAACTGTATAATTCCTTCATCTCTCACTACGTATTATGGTTCACAACTATACATAACTCGCCAGCGTGATTAAAGACTTGTTAATCATATTAAACTCTAACTCCATTATTATTAAGCAATGTTATTACTGTTTATATTTTCTATGTTGTTCTTTCATTACAGGATTGTTTCTATGTGATAACTAGTCGTTCAAGTGTATATGTTAATAAATTTGTACCATAGATGTATAGCCTGTACTTTTGTTTCCTAGAATGCCTTTGTGTTACTTTTTAAGGGGGGTGAAAACTATTGTTAACAGTTTATTAAAAAGAGGAGCAAACATTAGCAAAAGTACGCAATATGTTTCTCCACCATTATTAAATGACAGTAAACTCCTGCAATATTCACAAAACAAATTCTTAACTACCTGGATATTGCTGGTAAAGAATTCACAAAGATAATATTTATGCAGTCATGTTACACTGGATAAAGAACATACAGACGCCAGGCGAAGATAAAACTGTGTAAGACGCTCCTTCAACTTGGACACCAATCAAGAAAAAAAAATACATATATTTTCCTCTTGTTATTTAGAGTTTACCTGTATGTACTGCTTCACCAAGGAGCTGCAGCCAGTATTTACTCTCATAGGTATTAAAGAACGTAAAAAGTGAATGAAGGTGAACATTCTATAATCAAAGTGTGTTTAGGATGACCGTCCCCATATAGGTACTTTATGTTTTTAGTCGATTGATTAGAAAAGAAAGAATCCAAATGAAAAGACATAGATGTTACTAAAAAAAAAAAAAGAGATAGAGGAATTATAGGACAGGTACAGTAGATGATGGTAGTGCTTAAGACCTCGTGTACAGGTGTGGGCGGTGGGCGGCGTTTAACCAATGTGACAAGAATACTGGAAACATATAACAACGAACACAACATCAACAACAACAAACACAACAACTACAAACACAACATCGACGACAACAACAGCGACAACCACATCATCAACAATAACAATATCAACCATCAACACAATAATAACATTAACAACAACAAAAGTAACCATTAACACAACAACAACATCAACTAAAACAACAACCATAACATCAACCACAACAACAACCACAACATCAACCACAACAGTAACCATCACTACATCAACAACAACAATAACAACCACCACCACCACGACAAACACAACAATAACAACCACAACAACAACATTAGGATACACCGAGAAGCCAGACACGTATTTCACTTTCATCAGAACAGTAAACTAACCGACCATCTCTTAGTATTTTAGATTAATGGCAAAAAAGAGTTCATTGCTCCTATAAGTGGCCAAAAAGAATTCATTGCTCCTATAAGTGGCCAAAAAGAGTTCATTGCTCCTATTAGTGGCCAAAAAGAGTTCATTGCTCCTATAAGTGGCCAAAAAGAGTTCATTACTCCTATTAGTGGCCAAAAAGAGTTCATTGCTCCTATAAGTGGCCAAAAAGAGTTCATTGCTCCTATAAGTGGCCAAAAAGAGTTCATTGCTCCTATTAGTGGCCAAAAAGAGTTCATTGCTCCTATTAGTGGCTAAAAAGAGTTCATTGCTCCTATTAGTGGCCAAAAAGAGGATTCACAAGACTTTAAAAGAACTACACTAATCTTCACTTGCCTTTCTCCTCAATTAATATTTTTCGTTACATTATTTCCACTTGGATCAAAAGGGTGTCATCATTTTCCCCTCTTCAGTTCTCTCTTAAGAACATTTTAAAGAATTGACGAAAGTGTTACTCAGATGAAAGGTTTTAAATTCTAATACCGAGGGATGACGCAAGTAAGAGCATGAAGGTGATAGATGGGGGTCAGAGGTAGTTTAGGTGTCACGTAAGAGGGGTACAGACGCCGCCATTTGCTCCGATGTATAAAAATTTTGAGGAAGTTGGATGAAGAAATTTATGAAACGAGGATAAATATAGAGGTTACAATAGAAGATATGTGAGGTAGTACCATTTGTTGATAGGGTAGTATTTGATGCAAGTTCAATAGGGTAATATAGTATAATACCCCGGGGCTTCGAAGTGTGAATTGATTCTTGGGATTGTCGTGGTTGTTTAGTTTCCTGTCCGTGTTTTTTTTTTTATAGAACTGTATAATCAGCATCAATAGGTAAACCAATATACCAGTCTGGAGACAACAGGACAGACAGGTGTCACCAGAGACTTTTCTTCTAATTGATGTTTTTACACCTGTTGTCGTTACTGATGAAACCAGTTTGTCCAGATCATCGACATGCAATATTTTTTTTAGTGTGAGTTGTTGACAATTTTCGAAAGCTATCTACGTTTCACTATGTGTATGCAGTTATGATTGCTGCGGCTTTTCAATCAGGGGAGTTATGAGCCACCGACTATGTACAGAACACCTCAAGCAATATAATCACTGCCCTCAGGTTTATATATACAAACCCAAATCTAAATTTCCACAAAAGATCACATGTAAGTACAAGACTTTGGTGGTTAACCCTGGAGGAGGCGAAGGAGGAGGTATAGCCACACCTCCTCAAGAGCCAAGAAGATAACTTATCCAACTTAACCACAATAAAAAAAACAATCTTACAAACTCCAGACCACTACCACTACTACCACTATCACCATACCTGCTACTTGTACCACACTCCCTGGCCCCATTGGCACAACTATGTTTACTTTTACTCTCGCCTCTACACGATCTGACACCAGTAACATTTCATAGTCTGCATCTCATTGGCGTTACGTCAGGGGAGAGGGGAGGACTGTGTTCACCCCTTCACCTTTATATTTACTGCTTTTAAGCTTTTTTTTAAACTTAGATTGGCGTTGGGAGCGTCAAGCAAGGGAATTTGGTTGCGTAAGCTTCCGGCCGGACCCTGACCAGCAGTTGGGGGTGTAGCCAAGTTTGGAGATTTCTGAAAGTACACCCGACTGGCATTACACCTTCTCTCCGTAACGAAATAAGACGAGAAGATAAGGCAGAAGAAGTAATTAAAATAAAAGACCAACTAGGAAAAAATATATAAAAGAAAAATAGTGGGGGATGGGGGAAGGAATATACCTAAGAAACTAAAATAATAAAAATCACTCAGAAAATATAAAGACAGAGTTACTTTCATTGTAGACAGGAGTAGATAGTGTTATAATAATCTATATTAATTAAGGTCCTAGTGATTCGTGTTAGGGTAGTAATTATGGCCTGTAATGACTCAGATCAGGTCATTACAGTCAGTTCACTCGTTAAGTCATCCTGTATCTCGGAGGCGTAGAGAGAGAGAGAGAGAGAGAGAGAGAGAGAGAGAGAGAGAGAGAGAGAGAGAGAGAGAGAGAGAGAGAGAGAGAGAGAGAGAGAGAGAGAGAGAGAGAGTAAACAATATATAAATCTCCATACAGAAAAATCAACATTCCATCAATTTTAATCTGAATAATAATAATCCTTAACTATCCAAAGGAGAAGTATTTACGGATAACCTGAAGAATCTCCACCCCCAGTTTATTTCACCTAAAGATTAACCTAATCTAACCTAACCTAACCTAACCTAATCTAACTTTCCCGGTGTTAAGGTTCATTACTTAAGGCGATATGATTTGGATGGCGAGACTATTTTCGTAAACAACTTTCACACAAACTGTATAATATATCATGTAATACAAAGACCATTTCGGTACGCTGCTCAAGGGCCTTTCACAGGAGAGCCTCAGGGTTTAGCCTCTATGCTCCCGTAATATCTAATAACTGAGCTCCTTGTCAAAAGTCTCTCCACGTTATGTGTTTTTAGATACGTTCTTCGAAATCCAAGGATGTTTTTATACGTTTCAGACACTTTTATTTTGGATGCCTGAGACCATCCCCCCCCTGAGACACTTTCCTTAATCCTGTTTGGTTATGTTAGCGACACTCATTGACTATACCATGACGCTGCTACAGGTACAATACAGAAGGCTGATTCATTAAACCTCTCCATGTATGTACTGTGTGAGAAGAACCTTAATGGAGAGAGAAAAACGCATAAAAAAAACAGGAGACGGGGAATGTTGTTTGGTTATATAATAGTATGCAGGAGGTGTTGCTAGTGAGTGTAAAATAAGTTAACGTTATAAATGTACGTAGATGGTATGTGTGTGTGTGTGTGTGTGTGTGTGTGTGTGTGTGTGTGTGTGTGTGTGTGTGTGTGTGATAATTAACGGTTTATTGAAAAAGTTCTGCAGCCCGAAGGCTGAAAATATACATTGGGCATAAATGACTTATTACATACATTGGTGGTTTAACAAAAGCCTTCATTAGAGAAAGGTAAAGGAACATACAGTGAACATACAGATTAATGTAGGTGTTGAACAGCAAAAACGTAGTGTAGTAACTCCCTCCCAGATGGTGTTAGGAGGGACCTCACGTGGTGTAGTAGTTCCCTCACAGATGGTGTTATGAGGGGCCTCACGTGGTGTAGTAATTCCCTCACAGATGGTGTTATGAGGGGGCCTCCCGTGGTGCTTGTGTTCCCCTCACAGAAGGGGCCTCACGATAATTATCAAGTAATTCCTCACAGATGGTGTTATGAGGGGCCTCACGTGGTGTAGTAATTCCTCACAGATGGTGTTATGAGGGGCCTCACGGCGTGTAATTCTCACAGATGGTGTTATGAGGGGCCTACGTGGTGTATAATTCCCTCACAGATGGTGTTATGAGGGGCCTCACGTGGTGTAGTAATTCCCTCACAGATGGTGTTATGAGGGGCCTCACGTGGTGTAGTAACTCCTTCACATATGGTGTTATGAGGGGCCTCACGTGGTGTAGTAATTCCCTCACAGATGGTGTTATATGAGTGAGGTGTGGTTCCAGGCCTTCCTATCGTAGACGGATTAACACATCGCTGGTAGTTGGGTCTCACGGGCCGTTATCACTGGGTACCTGGGACCTCACTGTGTGAAAGGTCAACTTGGGTACCACTGTTACTGTTGAGTTGTTCTCACTGACTTAAGCACTGTTCACCTCTGTTTAACACTGGTTCCATTTCTTTCCTAAATGAAATAGTAACTTCTGGCGTGAACTTGTTGATATTCCGGTGGGGAGGAGGGTTCAGGGGAGGGAGTTGGTATGGGCCAACATAACAGTTGACCTGGCTGCTCCGAGAGGAGCGCCAGGTACGTCTTGACCCTTCGGTGGTCAAGGATGTGTGTGTGTGTGTGTGTGTGTGTGTGTGTGTTCAAATGATGGGTTCACTTA